TTGTACCAGTGCCAAAAGCTTCACATCCCAAGGACAGCTACAGGCTGATGGCTCTGACATCCCATCTGATGAAGACCTTGGAGTGGCTTGTCCTGGCACAGCTTCGCCCCCTGGTGAGCTCATCACTGGACCCACTTCAGTTTGCCTACCAGCCTGGCATCGGAGCGCATGGTGCCGTCATTCACCTCCTATATCATTCCCTCTCTCACCTAGAGACTGCTGGCAGCACTGTGAGAATCATGTTCTTTGATTTCTCCAGTCTCCTTTAACACCATTCTTCCCACAGTTCTGAAGGATAAACTGTAGAACTCAGGAGTGGACCACCACCTCACTACCTCCCACTGGAGACATGTTCTCTGGAGTGACGAATTGCGCTTCTCTGTCTTGCAATCTGGTGCATGAGTTTGGGTTTCCAGGAGAACGATACTTGTCTGACTGCAGTATGATGTGGGGGTGTTTTTCAGGAGTTCAGCTCAGCTCATTCGTTCCACTAAAATGAATTATTAATGCTTCAGCATACAGAGATATTCTGCTCCCAAGTTTGTGCAAACGGTTTGGAGATGGCTGGTTTATGGAGTAACGAGAAAGTAATATAACATGTTTCTTTTAAGAAAAATGAGTAAAGTGTTATACATGGTGTATATGGATACACCGTAATAACATGGGAATGGTTGGTGATATTAAAGTCCTGTTTGTGGCACATTAGTATATGTGAGGGGGCAAACTCCTCAAGATGGGTGGTGACCATGGTGGCCATTTAGAAGTTGGCCATCTTGGATACAACTTTTGGTTTTTCAATAGGAAGAGGGCCATGTGACACATCAGACTTATTGGTAATGTCACAAGAAAAACAATGGTTTCAGGTCTGAAGCACAAACGGAAGCCTAGTTATTTATATACTTGCTCTCTATGTCACACCACACTTTAAGTTTCGATCAAACAGCCTAGTTGGTTTCACTTTCTACTGCAATTACCATGCTTCTGCAAAAGCATGCAGTTTCCTGTCAGCCTACAACCTGGTTTTACACTGAAGTCTGGGCCTCTCATAAAACACAGTAATCAGCATTCAGATTAAATATTTTATTTCCTAACACTAGGCTCCGGGATTCAGGGGGAAAAAGCTCACCTTCAACAGATGGTAAAACCTGTGGTTGGTATCCAAGGGAGGACAAACTGACATGAGAGAACTTGGGAAATTGATCTTTTATGTTAAGTATTACCATATTGCCAGAAGAAGGTGGAAAACCAGTGACAAAATCAAGTGCAATCTGGGACCAAGGGTGACAAAGAGTTGGGGAAGGTCTGAACAAACTTGCATAAGGAGAGCTGGAAGACTCTTCTTGTGCACAGACAGAGACTGCAGAGACATATTCGTGGACATTGTTAATCAAGGCAGGTCACTGGAACAGACGTTGAATGAAGGTTATAACACAGTTGATTACAGGCTGGCAGATGAATTTGGTGGTGTGTGCCCAGACAGCAGAAGGGATATAGAGGCAACCCTGTAGATTTTTCATGGGGTCTGGTTCGGTCTGTTAAGCTTGTGGACGGCAGATTCAATCACCCATGTGAGGACGCCAATGATAAATGAGGAAAAGAGGAAGACTGATTCTGCTGGCAGAGGTGGAGAATTTCCTGGAGAGTGTCTGGTTTGATATTCCTAAACAGTATGAAAAATAGGGCCCATCTGACTTGTTAGGCATTGAACCGGTTAGCTGACTGGAGCTAGGCCAGGTTTTTGTGACCTGTCTGATGAAGGGACCACCCCCTCCAGCCAGTGCCTCCACCCTTCAAGAGCGATCTTGATGGCAGCAACTCTTGGTCTCCTACATCATAGTTGCGCTCTGCAGGGGTAAGATGACGATAAAAGACAAGAATGCATTTTACCTTCTTCCTGCCAAGAGAGTACAACTCCCATGCTGGAGTTAGAGGCATCCACTTCCATGATGAACTGGCAGGAAAGATCAGGTTGAGATAGAATGGGAGCTGCGGCAAAATGTTGTTTTAGATGGTCAAAGGCAGTCGGGCAGAGGGGTTCAACTGGTAGGAGATTTTAGTGGAGGTGAGTTGGGTTAAAAGCAGGGTGTTCTTACTGAAATCCCTGATGAAGCTACAGTAGAAGTTTGGGAAACCTAGGAAATGTTGGAGTTGCTTTTGATACTGAGAGACTGGCCAATAAGTTTCTGCTGGGTCTGGTTTGAGTTGTCCTTCCAAAATATAACTAAGGAATAAAACGGTGACAACCTGGAGTTCACATTTCTCGCCTTTGACAAAAAGTTTAAGTCACTTCAACAGCTGCCTGGTTGTAGATGGTGAAGAAACACTTGCTGCAAAACATTCCTAAGTGACCTCACCCAATCAATGAAAAAACCAAAATCAAATTTAAACGTGCTTTTCCAGACTATCCAAGTTTATCATCATGTTTGGCAAATGTACTGGTGAAAAGAAAAAATAAGGAAACACTTAAATCAGCAATATATATAAGCTTTCAATTAATAAGAATTTTGGTTCAAAACATTAAATATTATCATTTATTCCTCATCACAGAGGAACCTTTTCGAAACTCTATGATGCTATTCTGTCTTTTAGTAACCACTCTAATGTTAAGCTTAAGTGTACATGGGAAGGAGAACTAGGAATTCGAATACATGAGGAGTCTTGGAAACAGGCTATAGCGAGGGTACGATCTTCCACCTCCTGTGCTTGTCTTGGACTTATTCAATTTAAGGTCATACACAGGGCACATTTCTCTAATTCTAGACTTTCTGAATTGTATCCAGAAGTGGAAAATAAATATGATAAATGCCATGGTTCTCCTTGCCACCTTAGCCACATGTTTTTTCTGTGTCCTGAGCTACAAGGTTTCTGGACAGGGTATTTTGCTATTATGTCAACTGTTCTTGGGGTAACTCTTCATCCTTGTCCTCTGATTGCTGTATTTGGGATTCCTGTTCGCTCACTTACACTTGATTCCACACAAAAGGATATTATAGCCTTCACATTCCTATTAGCGAGACGTCTAATATTGTTCCGTTGGAAGTCTGTTCCCGGTGGCTTAAAGATGTCATGTTTTTTTTAAAACTTGAAAAAATCAAATATACGTTGAGAGGTTGCACAGCCAAATTTTTTCACAAGTGGCAACCCTTTATCTCTTATTTTGCTAGTATAGAGGTATTGCCTGTTTAACTGATAATGTTAACATAAATAAAAGGCAAAACGTGAACGTAGACTAGACTGATTGACTAAACTGGGAAAACTAAAACACAAAACACAGGGAAACGAGAGAACTAGACCATGACACAGGAGACAACAAGACAATACAGACAACATGACAAAGGACTCGACACTGTTGTAAAACAGGAAGCACAGAGATACACGGGCTTGACATAACATCAGGGACATAGAAAACGTAGATGGAGCACAGACATAACTAAGAAACAAATACACACAACATGACAGCTAGGGAGAAAACACATGACAGATGACACAAGGGGAACCAAGAGGAGACAGGACACAGGACAAAGACACCACTGAGACACACAAAGGGGAAGGGAGACTTAGACACAGGGGAACTGAGTTGCACACTGAAGACATGACACCAAAACCAACAGACATGGAAGGAAATTAGACAAGAACTAAATAGAGGAACTGAACTCAATATCAACAGAACTAACTGAACCCTAAACAAATTAGAACATAATAATACAAAAAACGGTGGCACGGTGGTTAGCACTGTTGCCTCACAGCAAGTAGGTCCTGAGTTCAATTCCACCATCAGGCCGGGGTCTTTCTGTGTGGAGTTTGCATGTTCTCCCCGTGTTTGCGTGGGTTCTCTCCGGGTACTCCGGCTTCCTCCCACCGTCCAAAGACATGCAGCTTGTGGGGATAGGTTAATTGGATAATCCAAATTGCCCATAGGTGTGAATGTGCGAGTGAATGTGAGTGTGAATGGTTGTCTGTCCCTATGTGTTAGCCCTGCGACAGACTGGCGACCTGTCCAGGGTGTACCCCGCCTTTCGCCCTATGACAGCTGGGATAGGCTCCAGCGCCCCCCGTGACCCTGAAAAGGATAAGCGGAAGCGAATGGATGGATGGATAATACAAAAAACATGAAATTCAACATGCTGGGTGAAAAAGACCCAGAACCATGTACTGTTGAAAAAATGATCAGTAGACCTGTCCATATTTGTGATTAGTCCGATGCTGCCATGTGAATCTACAGCTACAATACCTGTAAAGCATTTATTTGTGCATTTGACTTTATAGTCCTGTCATTTATTTATGTTGCTCTTCCTCCCTCTCGAGTGTATCTGAAAGACAAGCTGAGCCAATGTATTCAGTCATTAAATGATCTCTCTCTCTCTCTCTCTCTCTCTCTCTCTCTCTCTCTCTCTCTCTCTCTCTCTCTCTGTGTGTGTCTTTAATCATTATCTGCCTCCTTCATTCTCCCTTTACATTACATATTTTTATATCTTCCCTATCCTTTTTCTTTCTCATGCCCATTCTTCTACGTTCACTTCCTTCTTCACTCTCCTTTTTATAATCCGTTCCTGTAACTTGTCTTAATTTCCCATTTCCTCTTTACTTCTTTCTCCACTCTTTTCTTTATTTTCCTCATACCTTTCTTCATCTCTATTCTTATGTTTATTTCTATAATTTCTCCATTTCCTTCCATTTTGCTTTTAATTTTTCTTAAATGTAATTTTTCTTTTCATTTTCTCATTGTTTTAATCTCCGTTCTTTCTTCTTTCCTATCACTCCTCTTCTTTGTACTAACATATTCTTCATTATTCATCATCCTTTCATAAATATTGTTGTTTTTTCCATCTGATTGCATTGCTTTGTTTATTCCTACCTACCCTTCCTCATTTCCCTCTTGCATACCTTTCTTTTTCCGGCTACTATATTTTGCACTTTCACGCCTTCCCTCTTGCTCTTTCTGCACATATCCACAACTTCACTTGTGACTTTCATTGACCCTGCTTCCATCCTCCTCCCAGTCTGCAGTAGTGCTCCCATAAACATGAAGGTGCAGCATGTCAATGGCAGTGCTTTGGTGGTGCGTTGGGCTCATCCGGAGGTCACCTACCACTCACCTATCCAGCATTTCCTGGTATCTTACAGCTGGACAGCCCATGATGACAGCTACGAAGAGACCCACCTAACGGATGCCAAACACAAACTGGTGAGTCTTTGAGGGACTGCAGGGTTGGAGCCACATTATAGGTGGATGCTAAGTTTTAACTAGAAAAATTTGCATTTCCTGCGAAAATGCTGTGTGGATGCTGTAACGCTGAAGCTGTTTGCTGAAAATAGCTGAAAAAGATGAAAAGTTTCAGGGGTGAAAAAACTGAAAATTCTTTTGAAAAGGGGTGAAGAAGCTGAAATTTGTGTTGAAAAGAGTTTAAAAAGTTTAACTGTGAACTGAAATATTGTTGCCATAAGCAGGATTTGAACCCGGGCCTCCTGCTCCGAGAACGGATGCTCATCTCACTGAGCTAAAACACAGCTTGACCCGGCAACTAAAATCAATGACCACACTGACAATTTGTTCCATCCATTTCAATGGGCAAAAAAATTGCATATAAAATTCAATATCTCAAAAAGTATAGAAGTTATGAGCACCAAAAGTCATAGCACACATTAGCAGAAAGAGCAGAATTTTTTAAAGTTTGAACATAGTAATTTTAATAAAACATAGTATTTCTTCCAAATCACAGTATTTCTGGTAAATCACAGTGTTTGTGCCAAATCACAGTATTTGTACCAAATCATAGCATTTGTGATAAATCATAGTATTTGTGCTAAAACATAGTATTTATACTAAATAATATTTTTCCTGCCAAATCATAGCATTTGAGACATTATTTGTGATTTATGATTTAACAGAAGCACTGTGACTTGGTAGAAAGACTATGATTTACATGGAATACTATATACTATACTTTTGGAAAAATACTGTGTTTTAGGACAAATACTGTGATTTGGCACAAATGCTATGATTTAGCAGAAACACTATGATTGGATGCAAATACTATGAGTGGGCAGAAATACTGCATTTTACCTACTACTGAAATTTGATTGAAATACTATGATTTAAAAGAAATACTATGACTTCGTACAAATATGATGCTTTGGCACAAATACTATGATTTTGCAGGCATTCTATGTTTCTGCACAAATACCACAATATGGCACAAATACTATGATTTGGCACATATACTATATTCAGCACATATACTATAACATAACAGAAATATTAATTGGGCACAAATACTATGATTTGGCACAAATACAATGATATGGCAGAAATACTGCATTTTACCACAACTTCTAAAATTTGATTGAAATACTATGATTTAGAAGAAATATATGACTTTGTACAAATACAATGCTTTGGTTTGAATACTATGATTTGGTATAAATACTATGATTTAGCAGAAGTAGTATGATTTAGCAGTAATACTTTAACATAGTAGAAATATTGATAGACACACATACACAGAGGGTAAAGGGAACAGGGGCTGTGCAGAGTCTGGGCTTGGTATATGTAGGTCAGTTAAATTAGCTGGACCTGCTGTAGTCAGCCCTTACACACACAGACACAGAGAGAGGTATGAGTTTTCTTAAGTGTATTTCTCACATTCAGGATTCTCCTCGAACAAATGGCCATAATTTCCTAACCGTAGGGGCTAGAACGGTCATTCTAACACCGTTTTGTTCAGAAGAGATGGGGGAATCTTCAGGTCTTCATAATTCATAATTAAAGTATAAATTATTAAAGATATATGATTTGTAACACACTGTAACTGAGTCAAGGCGAAGCTAAAACTGCCTTGACTTGCCCTCAAACAACGTTTTGTAACTGTAAATCTATATGGAGCATCAATATCATTCTTTCATCATAAGAAACAGCAGGCTTTGGTGAACAGTCATGGACATTTTCAGGGCTCTGTCAAAATCCATCAAAAAGGCATGAAGAGAGAAAAAAGTGCCTAATTTCCAGAGTTCAAAATCTGAAGAAATCTGAGCAAGGGACGAATTTCCTACCCTCAAACAAACATAATTCATGGCCAAACGGTAATAGGTGAGGAAAAAATTCTTGAATTGTGAGCGTCAGGAGTGTCTGAAGATATATTGTTTTAACTTGAGGCTATGACGATTTGAAAATGCCTCTCATTAGAGAATTCCAGCGGTGATTTTGAACAAACTCTCTATTGACTGTCTATGGAGAGTTGTCGGACTTTGTGTTGCTCTGAGGAGATTTGCTAAACATCTGTAAATCCCACAACAATTATACGGACATTTTCTGAAAGCCAGCAAGAATACCTACGTTTTGATGTATAATTTGTGGGGATTGAGTGGAAATTGAGCGAGTAGCAAGAAGTTGTTTGGACATGAAGAGAAAATTCAGAAAGTTCAACTGTCCACTCTGAGTTAGTTGCATAGCAACCGTAACAACGCATATATTTTCTGAAAAATCACAATTTTGCAACTGAAAACTTAAAGAGGGATAAGATTAAAATGGTAGAGGATATGAAAAAGCTGAATCATACATGAATAGCCCAATAAGTTGAGAACATTTTAAAGTTTGAATGGTTGTTCTATGTGAAAGTATGAGGAAGTAGTTAAGTTTTAGCAGAATCGTGGAAGTTTTCCATTCATTTCAATGGGACAAAAAAAAGGAAAAAAGTGTAATATTTTAAAAAGATATGATAGTTATAAGTACCAAAAGTCATAGCACCCATTAGCAGAAAGAGCAGAACAGTTTAGAGTTTGAACGGTGAAAATCGGCTGAAAACTGAGGAAGTAGTTAAGTGCCAAAAAACGCACGCAAGCAACTAGATTATAGTGGAATAAAGAATAAAGAGAAACAGGAACTCAATAGTGTGAATGCCCTTTGAGGCATGTTTACTCTGCTGATAATTGCACAGTGTGTTTAATACACAATTCCCTCTGTTTTAGGTCGGTGACAATCTTGCTAACCTGTGCTGCAGACCCTTGTTGCCTCATGTAGACAACCAGGACAAAACAAATCTTGCATATCCTATCTACAGTCTAGGGGTGGGGGAAAAAATCGATACTGTGTAGTATCGTGATATTTTGTTTGCTAATAATGTATCAATACAGGGACAGCAGAAATCGATATTTTGTTACAAAAAATGTTTTTGTAGAGTGGAACATGCTCTGACTTAAGAGCATGTTGATTTGCTCCTTTTTCTGAGCAGGAATCCTGACATTCCTTCACTGTCCAAATGTGTTTAACTTTTTTTTTGGCAGCAATAAACATGACAGTTTACTTATTTTAATTTAAGACATGTTTTATTTTAATTAAGTTTAAAACTTTTTTATTTAATGTAAAATTATATTTTGTTTTAATGTACTTTCAAATTCTTCAGTTGCTGAAGGGGCTGCATAGTTTTCATAAATTGCATAGTTCAGAATAGCTATAATTGTACCAGATGGTTGCATTCAGTTAAATTGGACTAGACTGTAATACAAACCGTTCAGTTTGTCAACAATAAAACTGACTGAAATGAGAGAAAGACTGAGTGTGAGACTTTGTCAATATTCATTTTATCTAATATCAAAGTTTACCTTTATGTACAGAATCTGAATATCGCAAAATATTTAAAAAAAATTGCAATAATATCGTATCGTGCGTTAAGTATTGTGATAATATCGTATCGTGGGATGTATGGTGATTCCCACCTCTACTACAGTCACAGTTCAATAACGCTCTATACTAAGTTAAACACTATATAGAACAACTTCATAGGATTATATTTGTTCGCAGATGTTCGCAGATGTTGGCAGCTATCAGCGAATACTTATCAGCTATTTTGAAACAAAAAAGACTTATCCATAAAAGCAAATGAAGTGTACAACAGAAAATACAAATGCTATTTATGGTCTCCTCACAACAATGATAAGAAAAATAAACTGGGCCAATTTGGCATGTTTGTTAATACAGAGACACACATGTTAATGTGATCTGTGGTCTCCCACTCAGAGACACAGGGCTCCCAGTGTCCAGCATTCAGAGGCTACCTGAGGACTCATGTGAGAGAAAACCTGCTCACACAGACATGTAGAGCCAAACACTGTCAATAAGGCCTCTGCAATGTTCTGAAGACAGTTAAACCTGTCAGGTAGTGATGTCCAGCAGGTGAACATGCAGCTCCATGAACACACACAGCTGTGGATTCCAGCTGATGCTGCGCTGAGCGGACAGCTCCTGAAGCATTTGAAGTGTCAGAATGTGGAAATTTCAACATCGCTTGAAACAACTGCCAGCTAGCAACATCCCTCTCACCGGTAGGCTAAGTGATTTTAGCCAGTTACAAGTTGAATCTGGTAGTTGGGTTTGTTAGCTGAGATACCTTCATTAGGAAGCGGCACAACTAATGTGTCTATGTGAGCTAATCTGCGATGTGCACTGCTGGCCCGGCCATTTATTTTTTAATGCACCTTCTCAGATTAATTCACTGCATGTCGTGACCAGGGCTGGACTGGGACAAAAACACAGCCCGGGCATTTTGACTAGAGACCAGCTGCTGTTGTTTAGCGCGACATCCGCTGGTTTCCTCTTTCTGGCGCAAAGTGGGCGATAAACAAACAAAAGAGAAAAGGAGATCAGCTGATCATTGATCAGTTTTATGATTGAAGTAGCAACAGGAGAGGGAGGGGAGAGAATGAGAGGAGAAGAGGCAGCTGTGCAGCAAAGACACAGAATAATTCCAGCTTTGTGTCTTTTTCATTGTAGCTGAAGTCCGGGACAAACCTTTTCACTCAATACGAAACGCGTAATATTTTCTCTGAATAGAGACGATTTTTACGGGAGCAAAACCACTCCGCTAAACAGCCACCTCAAAGCAACAAAAGAAAAACACAGTTCAACAGTCCAATCCCCCGGTCCAGTGGCAGCAAACACAGTTCTGGCGGCCGACCTGCAGGACGGCAAAACAAGCGGGACCCGCTGCGGGTTAGGCAGTGGCGGCAAAACAGTTCAGGTGGCCTACCTCTAACCCCTTGATGGAAACGCAGCAGCTCTGGCGGGCGGCCACGGGTCCGGCAGCAGTGGCGGAACAGTTCTGGTGGCCTGCCACAGGTCCGGTGGCGGCGGTGGCGCTGCCCGTCCGGCGACCTGCCACGGGTCCGGTGGCAGCGCTGCTCCTCCGGTGG